CATTATTCTGAGGATAAATATAACAGCGTTTAATACCATTGCTCTGGTAATACACAGTGTTTAATAACAAAGTGCATGCTTATGTACTGCAGGAACTAGTCTCACAAACAACTATTGAAACTCTCAACATCCCTGGGCTCTTTCAAGGTTACTGCGCATAGAAATGCTATATTGCTGGGAAGAGCTTATGTGACCCACAAAGTACCCGCAGCTTGGTAGTCTTACCGTGGCTGCTTGCAATATCTTTTCATCTTGTATTGTTATGTATACTGTTTCTCTCATATAGTGTTATATGCATGTACAGTGCTATATTATAACAGTTAAATCCGAGTGTTGCATACAGATCTTGTTCAGTGTAGTTATTTTACCGTTCTTTTGGGACAGATGTATATAAGCATAAACATTTTATTACTGGCATCTTAATTGCTGTAGTCACAATATCGCCGAGATGCTTACGATATGACAAATCTTAACTCACTCAACCTCTCACTCTCAAGGAGAACAATACCAAAGTCATTTACATGCTTATTTACACTCTTTGCAATGTCAACATTGATGGGGCATCGTCGATATTGAACTATCAATCGTTTTCAGGTTTTTGTAGTTGGATATAGTTGGAATATTGCCACACACTGCGTTAACCCGAATCAAATATTAGCTAAAGGTTTCCCTAACAGACCACAAAGATTGCTAAGGCCACGTTAAAGAGTTCACAGTTGCTGAAATCCATGTGAAATTTGGAGTGTTGTGATAGTTAACGTGTTTAGTGGTTTTGTCTGCTGAGGATTTATTGGTTTTCTCTGAAGAAAAGAAAGCATTAGTTCCAACTTGAAACGTTTTTGTGTTACGTACGTTTTCCTCAAATCTCACTAGGGACGATAATTATTTCCTACAGATGATGTCTATGCTACGCAGCAAAGAAACGTCAGTTTGGAATTTTCCTTCGCAGAAACGGATAACTTTAAAATCATTTAATGTTTCCAGCTTTACCTAAGAAGACATTCCTTCCCAAACTCAGAATGGAACCCAGGAAATGGTCTCAAAAACGCAACCTGATCTCGGAGATGGTATGGTGTTCTCCATGTTTTTCATGCAGTACGTGCTGTTCACAAGGACCAGCCCTATAAAATGCACCCCCCAAACCTGGTTGAAACATTCAAATTACAACGTCAGCAGGATGCCACGACTCACTACAGCTCAGAGGAACCAGGCGCTAGGAAGACTTGAAGCTGGCCACACTGCACAAGCCGTTGCCAATCACTCCCAGGTCAACGTTCGGACCATCTACAGGCTGCAGCAACGATTCCGGGCAACCAACACCACAAATGGTCGCCCCCGTACTGGCAGACCAAGGGTGACAACAAGACGACAAGACCGCCACGTTGTGCGACAGCATGTACAGAATCATGTCATGTTTATATTAGGCTTAGTAGGTACCTGAGGCATAGAAATTGTTAATGATCTGTTATTCATGTGTGTGACTCAGGGTAAAAGTTAGACAAAACACCAAAATGTGTATGTCTCCAAAAATAATATAACATTTTGAGTGAATATTTCAAAGTAAATAGTCATCTAGTGTGAACAAAAGAGATTACATTTTCGACATACGGTATTGTCCCTTTCGTCTGTACCCAGAAACATCTGGTTTAGTTTTGTTTAAATTCATGTTTTAATGTGATGTTTCCCAAAAAGTGCAATCTACGTTACCCCATGAAAATGACCATATAATTATTATAAATATTATATGTATTTATTAGATAGTATTCCTTATTTGCAGTTTTATGTTGGGACAATACAATATCATTCTCATAGCCACTAACTTTCAGCCGATTTCTCACCATGATGCCTCACAGGTTTAAAGTTGTAGAGATTTTGTATAGATGTAATCTGCGTGACCGCCATGAGATAAAAACTGTACATCCAGTGTCACCCAACGAGTATCAAAATGAACAGACCTATTCAGTAGTAATAACTAAGTGAAGGAGATGATCTTCTTTTACACCTGAACGTTCCCGTCATCAGGTCCAGCAGAATGAGCCCAAGTTTACCTAAAAAGCAGATATGTTTTAACCCTTATCCCGTGATTGCGATTGTTCCACACTAAACTCGGTATTGTTTGGTCCTCAAATGAAAGCAATAGCAGACTGCATGAAGTTTATTTGTAACTAAATTTACACTCACAACATTTGTCTTCAATATATTCATGTATATTTGAATTCGTACGCACGGATTTTAACACAGATCTGAATCATGGTTTTGCCTGCCGCATTTTGGCCAAAGATACATAAACCTGCAAGTTTGTTGTTGAAACTAGCGGAATCACTTTTGCATTTCGTCTACTGTAATGTGATAATTTACAAATGTCACGCTTTAAGGCTAAAATTGTAAAGCAAATAGTCCGATGGCTCTATATTTCAGGATTCAACCTTGCATTCATCGTGTATCCTATTTCTTGGCCTCGCTTCCCTTGCCACAGATGGTTGGTGTTGACGTTCGTTACGTTGATTGCACTCGCAATAGATACATTGGTAATAACTAGTTTTTAAATAGGCGTTATGCTCGCCTAGTAATGAAAGCCATAGCTCGTCACGCCGAAGACACGTGTTCGACTCCCCATATGGGTAATTTGTAGTGCTCAATTCTGGAGTTCTCGCCAGGACATTGCTGGAATATTCCTAAAATTACTCACTCACTTCTAACATAACTGAAAAGGTTTCCCTGTCTGGACGTTATTAGACTTTTCTGACTTAGGAATGTGTGTATTGGGCTTTGAGCAGTATTTCACTAGTATGACGGTCTGTCAGTGCGAGGAAAGCCCGAAGAGCTGCAAGTATTGGACGTTTAACATTGGGGAAACCTACGATCTGGGCGAACGGAGTTTCGACTCCACAATCGTAGGTTCCCGACGTGACCAAGGGACGCAACTCAGTTAACTGCCAAGACAAGGCTGGGACATTGTGGATTAAAGACATATAGAAGTATTTTAGATAAAGACCTATCTCCTCTGTGTGAAAGCTGTAACTTACACTGCCCAGAAACAGTTCAGCACTACCTCAATGGTGCACAATACTTGGCGATAATTTAATGTATGGTTGCATACAAAGAGCTGTTTTAGACTTCCTCGTTAAAACGGAGAAGTACGACGTAATGTAACTGAACATAAATGTAACAGTTTGTTAAGTGTTGAGCGCATATAGGCCTTTTAAGGTCCAAGGTCGCCCTAAAACCTTATCTACCTACCTACACCAAGACAAAACAGGCCTTTCGTATTAGGATGTAAAAGGCCTGTTTTGCAGACAATAACAAGGAATGATGCTATATTTGGTAAACATTTATGCAAATTTAATCCAGTAATATTCATAAGAAAAGCTTCTCCTTACTCTCGTCATTGATTTTCAATTACCTTTTCATGTAATTTGCATAATTATTTTACCCTTTGAGCCGAATAGACAGCAGATTATCTTCCTACTGGCAAATACGAGATCCTTTGTTATTTATTTCTAAGCCATGACGGACAACACAACAGCTGATGCTGCATAAAGTGAGTGAGTGCGTATGTTTTTACGCCGCTTTTAGCACTATTCCAGCAATATCACGGCGGGGGACACCAGAAATGGGCTTCACACATTGCGCCCATGAAGGGATTCGAAACCGGGTCTTCGGCGTGACGAGCGGACTCTTTAGCCACTAGGCTATCCCACCGCCCCTGCTGCATAAAATAAGTACAAATCTGTGACATTACTTCTGATCCCATACACCGATTATACACTTGTAATTAGATCAAACAGCTGTGATCTAATGCAACACAAGTGGGTATAAATAAATTGTCAGTCCAGGTGTGAAGAGGTCATTGTACGACGATTTTTGCTATTCACTCACATATTTCATACACGATGTGGACCCTCTCATAGTCTGTCTCACAGTCCCTGAACCGCAAGTTTCCCTTCCGCCCTGCCCATTCTGCAATGCTAAAGCCCTAAAAGAAGCAAGTGTGGATTTGTTCGGGTTCTGAATATCCCTTCTCACCTTTTAACTGAAAAAGAATTCTATCTACCAAAAATATATATATTCAGCGAAGAGTGAATCACGGTCAAGCATAGTTACCCTGTTGTTTTCGTTGATCTAATGCAGAGGATCCTTTTCAAAATGTTAGTTCTCTTATATTTTTATGTTTATTGAAAGAAATTGAATTCTATCAAATATTTTGGTAACTCTGTCCTGTATAAACGGTATTTTTTTAATTTGTAGACTTAGTTTAAAATAAGGCTTTTCAACAACAATTTCACCGTGAACCAAAATGTATAACCAACCGGTTATCAAATAGAAACCTGCTGCTTGTATTGCATCACGCTTGATATGGTTGCTGATGAACAATATCTTCTTTTATGCATAAAATGTAATCATTGTTATTTATACAAATCTGCTGTAATCCAGGTGTTGTTGGTTCCTATTTACAGGTTATTCGGTACAAAATGTTTCTGGTCGAGTCAATACATGAGTCAGTACATTGCCACCGTGACTTTCACATTTAACTCACCCACTCATGTTGAATTTGCAGGTGCCGGGAAATGATATAATAGTAACAGCACTGAAGGCTAGTTCCCACTACTGAAAAGACGACGTCGGTTTACCCTCTGTGCTGATCTTTCCACAGTGCTACTTTTAAAATATTTTCTCATTCGCATGAAGCGATATACTAACAAGTAGAACACGGGGGGAGGCTCGCTGACACAGTTGACGCATTGTCATTGAATCCCAACTCCGTCGATAGATCCTGATGTCAGTCATTGGATTGTCTGGTCCTGATTCTGGTCCAGTATTTACAGACCACCATCCTATAACTGTTTTATTTCGAATGTCTCAAGGTACATTGTGTGGTTATTTAAAGAAAACCGCCCCCATACAGCTGGAAAATTGTCTTCGGAGTTAAACATCAAACAAACTTATACAGGATCAAATCCTTAGCAATTGTACTGAACAGTGTATTGACTTTATTTCAGGCACAAAGAGGCTGGAAGAAGATGTCAGTATGCTGTGGGGGGAGAAGATACCTGGCTCCATGCATATATGCATACGCATACGGGTGCCCTGTGCTAATTCTGGTGAGATACAGCTTTAGGTTGTAGAATTTTAGGGTACATTAATATAATATCATAATCAGAAACAGTGGGTGAGGGGGTTACTTCAAAGGAATTCGTATTGTCAACTGAAAAGGTGCCTACTTTTGAAACTTGTGTAAAGCTTATGCCCACGTGAGGGTAATCGATTCGTTGTTGAAACGTTGCTCTCAGCAATATTGCAGCTATATGACTCCGGTCTGTACAGTCATGAGCATCGTTTAAACGCACTTTTAAACGTGACGATTACATGCTAACCACCCGATCCCGTTAGTCGCCGCTTACGACAAAGATTGCTTACTGAAGATTAATTCTCAATTAGCACAAGTACTGATCATTTACTGGCTGATTGTGTGAATATAGCGAGTTAAATCTGGTCTTGGTGTAACTCGTTACTTGTCTGACCATATCATACTGAGTAAAACCCGTGTAGATACGGGTTAGAATTGGCTTTCAGCAACCCAGGTATGTAGTAAAAGGCAACTTACGGAAGCAGGTGGTTATAGGTTCGTCAAGGGCCAGCAATACGAGCTTCTACGTTCCTACGCTATGCTACAACTCGGGACCTCCCATTGTGACGCTCTATTTATCAGTTGTGGTTTGTTCATCACCTGATCGCAGTCGTTGACACAGCCTCGTGTCAGCGTTATGTAAGCTGACAACTGAGGTTCTGCACGGCAGTCACACGACTCTCTCCTCACTGCTATCTCTCATTCAGCGGAACGCTTCGGATTCAACCAGGAATCGGGCAATGTCAAGAAAACACACCTTCTCACATTGTTCAAGTGCTGTTTTGTGGGACTGCTAACAGCGATTTTCTTTTACATTCAAAGGCAACTACTATCTGGTAAGCATTTTTCCATGCATGTTTATAGTTTATTATTTCTATAAATCCATACATGTGTTGTGCTTTTTAGGATCTGTGTGGTTCATTGTCCACATAGCCAATAACAGCAGTATGACGAAGTCACTGATGACGTAACTAGATATAATAACGTCAGTGCAAAAGAAGACCCAGTCCTGACTATTCTCACAAACATATTTCAGTTAGTGTAAAAGGCAAAATTGATGTTACAATTGCATATATTTCCCACGTGTTCGCAAAAGTGGCAACCGACGTTCACACAATTTGATTATCAAAGTGAGTGTTTACACCCTAATACCGGAAAGCAGTTCAACTTCCTTGCAACGTCGGCTTGTAAATGAACCAGACAATCAAGTTACTGATGAGCCGGAAAATCCAGTTATTAAGTTTGAATTACGACTTCTCTGTGGAAAACCAGAAATTCCGATGCTTAAAAGTACATAAAAAAGTAATTCAGCTTCCCTCTTCACCATCTGCCTCCAAATACTCAACCTACATATACTAAAAGCCAAAGGTATCTGTTGAGAACCCATCTCCGATCGTGCTGCACTTTGTTTTGCTGCTCTTCATTCAATCAGGCAACCTTTTGGGCATACGCACATCGTTACATCCCACTCGTGCAAAACAATAGCTGTCTCTGAATAACAGACAGGTTATTCTTCAGTCTCTCTGCTAGGGTGAAAGGTGGCATTATAACCAGAGAAAACTATAAATATGTACATGGCTTGGTGCTGAGTGAAATGAGTTTCTATTATATTCTTAAGGGTGAAATACTGTAAATATTTGTGAAAATAAATTGGTATTTTCACTGAGTAGAATAACATGTTATTTCACTGAATAGAATATCACAAACAATGGCGGATCTACAAGTTTATATATATTAATACGCGCACTGATTGCATCGCCAGACAAATACTGAGGTATATTTGTCATTAAAATTCTACATTTACTCTTCATTTGAGTTTGTATTTCATAAAATATAACTACCAAAAGTAGAAACATGACATTAATTACTGTAGGATAAAAATATTAAGCGAACTATTTTGTTGGGTGCAACATTTTGCTTAAGGGCTAGACTGCAGTTGGTTTGCGTAATAAAATGCAGACATACTCGATGTCCCGATCATTTATAAACAATGATCAAAATATAATAAATAGAATATTTTATTAATGTTGTCAAGTAACATGTATATTTCATCGAGTGGTCTGACAAAGTTGATATGTTGACGAGTGGCGCAGACCACGAGATAAAATATACATGTTATTTGACAACATTAACAACACATCCTCTATATATTTTATAAACAAATACAACAAATGACATGATGATGTGTTGATGATGCCCTATCAAGTGTGTCTGCAATAATCTGTTTCATTTAATGCTCAGTTCTTTATTCTGTAGATTTCAAAATGTATTTTGAAGGAATTTATGGGACATTGAATGACCAAGAGTCGTTGCTTACACTTATAATTCTGGTCGTTTAAGTCATATCTTCTACCTGAAGCATAACCTTCCCGGTGCTCCAGTGGATAGAGCTTCTGCATTTAGTGCTGAAAATCGGTGGTTCAATCCGCGGACGAAGCGATCGACACCAAGGGATTGTTACGAGCCATCATACTGTGGATAATTAACATTTACGAAAACATGATCTTGCCATTGGGCTAACACAACCCAGGTCTTCAGCATAACAGCCATAATGAATTTTTACTAAAACATGATGTTTTGGGTAACCACGTTAGGCTGGTGTATGGTATCTCAGTGGATTTACATAAACAATCATCAGTGGGTTAGCACCAAAAATTAAACATTGGACAAGATAAGTAGAAGTGCGCGCACAGAACACGCACGTTTTATAAATGTATGAAATCATAAATGTATAAGATGAATAGCCAGGGTGGAAAATTTTCTTCACACAACTACTGGTCTTCTGGTAATGTGAGATGACTTAATCAAAGCCCTTCCTGAATCTTCTCGAACTCTGTGGGTAAGACCACACAGGAATATCCCTAAATAGGCATAGAATCTAAATAATCTTTCTCTTACGGTTAATATAATATGAAGCCAAACAGTCAACAATTAGTCTTAACACATTGATTGGCGACAGTCACTTCAGTTATGACAGGAATTTCGTCAAGCCAGATCATTTTACTCCTCGTCAACCTCCTAGACAGTGCCTTTGATAATCAGCTAGAAAATATTGTCCCCTTGGAAGCATATGTAAGACCATATCATTATATTCCTACCACAAACGTAACCGTAGTATATGATGGCTAAACCCGCGTTAAAAAAGCAGTACTTTAAGGGATGGTGACTGATAACTTTAACAAATAATAAGGATTGAACAATAACTCGACTGTCACAGATGTTAGTTAAAAATAGGTTGGGAGCGGGTAAAAAGATCGAAATTTCGGCCACCATAGCCGGAATCAGGAAGACTACTGTGAAAGTTCATCACATAGTCCTGGAAACGCCGACCTCAAGGTTCAAGGCTTTCTACAGCTGACGCGACATCAGGTGTAGGTTAAAGAGGTAAAGGATGCATATGTGTCATGGTATTAAATATAACATAGAATAGAGGAATATACTGATTAGTAATCAGCCATCTGTGACCACATCATTAGCTGCGCTAAACTGATCATCATGTGGGACTATATAAGAATCTGGTGTTTGCTGACAAATTGTTAACATGTTAATAACTATTATTTTATCTGAAATGCTGTTTCTTTTGCTTCCATATTACAAGCAAGCACACACACTTGCATACATCTTAAATCGTGTAGCATTGTAGATACAGACTTTAACCCTTGAACAAAGGTTCACGCTTCAGTGGCTAATGCTAATTACCTGTCTCACCAAGCCATAGTGCAATGTTGTCTTAACAAGACCTTTTTTGGTTAGACTCTGGCTAAATGAGAGTAATATCCTCTTCTGAAACACATACGCTGACATCGATGAATCACAAATTGTGTTTGATTAATTCAAACTCTGGCTGCAATATAGTGAGCACCTGTTTCATTACAGTCCAGCAATTCAGATCATATTCATCTAATGTCAATGACGACAAGACCTACGCATAATTTTTATTTTCCATATTTATTATGATACATATCATGTTAGGTCCTGGCCATAAAACCCTTTAATTATTGATGTAGTAAACTGGCTAAAGCATATACCAGGACGTGGTGGCTCACCAGCCAATCTGGTATTGTTAACAGCTGACTTCTGTATTTGTGTGCTGGCGATTCATTGCAGGTGAACATCGCCCTTGTTGTCAGTCGATGCTGGATCAGGTTTGTTTGTTTCTTTGTAAAATTTTATGCAGTAATTCCCAAATATAATCCTTCCGAATGGGTTTCTGAACTAAAGTGGCCTCTGTTATCAACACTGCCTACAAGTTGGTTGGTTCACCTATTTCAGCTATATGGCGGCCTGTAAATAATCGAGTCTAGACTCGACAATCAAGGGATCAACATCATGAGCATCGAGGATACCACCCGATCCCGTTACTCGCCTCTTATTTCAAGCATGGGTTGCTGAAGACTAGTTTTAACCCAGATCATCATGGCTTTGGTGACATTTATTTACTGGTACGGGACTTATACCGCTTTGGTTTATGGAAATATACCTTTAATGTATTACATAAAAGGAAATATATTTCTGTTCTATGATTATTTTTAATTTACTGCGCTACGTCAATTTCATCTTCAAAATCGATGTGATAAAGTCATGCATTATGATGTGTCCTACATGAGATGAATGCAGTCAGTGCACGTATATTTGAATGTGTATAGATACATTATGTTTACACAACGCAAGGTGGGAGAATATACAATAATAACATTATGATCACGAAGCCATTTAGATATGATTAAATAGGATTAATGCATCAAGAAAAAATGTAACGACAAAGCAAAGAATGGGAGTGTAGGTGGGTGATATTTCACAGCACCAACTTATAGGGTCTGGACAGCCAAGATAAACGTCAATTTCACTTCAGGCAGAACACGAAAATAACCCATGTTACATACCAACGGATAAGGTCCCACCCAGTCCACA